GATCGTCCGAAGCTCATCACGGACATGTGCAAGAATATTGACTTGACCATGGGTGCATTCCAGATCAACCATCTGGTAAGTCGATTCTCGAGTTGGATCTTGCAAAAAGAAACAAAAAATAATTACTCTGCGAATGGCGTTTGTGTTGCCGCCTGGTCCTACCATTGAGAACAATTCTATTGTCCACGGGAGGTTGATGCTACTGCTGCTGTCCTTCAATACTCTTGTCTCCCCTGTCTCCTTCACTAGCCCATTCTTTTTATTGACTACCACCTCATGCAATTGATGTTTTTTACATTGTCTTCCTTCACTGCCCACTTCCAAGCTCTACGCATTCACACTTCCTGTCTATCAAACGACCACTGCATCCATCGCATCAATTCACCGGCTACAAGCTTCCCATTGATGTAGGAAGCCGATATTCAATATTTGAGTCCTTTTCTTTTCCACATTCACATCGTCTATGCCATGTCAGCTTCCTCTCATGGCGACGACCAAGTTATATAAACCCCCTTCTCCTCCCCTGCTCTGCCTTCTTCTTTCCTTCTCATACAAACGCCGACATCCCAAGCTCCTCTTGTCTTTGACTCACTGCACTATTTCATCCGCTTCTTTACAACTTCTTACCTCATTTCATTACCATCTCATCATGGAGGACTTCGAGTACATGAACAAACTTGAAGGTGGCCTTCGCCATCTACGTATCCAGAATGCTGACGAGGTTGCCAAGTACTCTGTTCCTGTTGAGACCGTTGCCCGTCCCAACCACAATCAGACCGGAAAGGAGATCGAAGTTCTCATGAATGCCTACCCCATCACCAAATTCCCTACTCGCAACGTCTACCAGTACGACGTAAGTATTTCCTGTCCTCAATTGAACGAACAAGACAATCATTGGAGCCACACCTTGCTAACAAAAGTAAAGGTTCAAATCGGAAACGGCGTCGAGAAGAATGCTGTCATCAAGAAGGTCTGGAATTGTAATGCTCGCAAGGCCGCCCTGAAGCAGATCGTCTTTGATGGTCAGAAGCTCGCCTGGTATGTGTTAACACCAACCCGTGCTCTGAGCAATAGCTGATTAACCATACACAGGTCGATGAATAACTACCCCAACGGTTTGAACGTCGTTGTCGATCTTGATGCAGAACAGGGCCGACCTGCTGGGAGAACCAGCAACACTTTCCGGTTGACTGTTCGTCCTACAAAGACCGTCAATCTGGCGGTTCTTAACTCCTGGCTTACCGGGCGCACCTCTATGTCGGAGGCGGTCCTTGAGGCTATGAGTAAGTACACCGTTTGTCCGAGCTGCAGCGTGTTCAGTGACTAATAGCCACAGACTTCCTCGATCATGTCCTTCGTGAACATCCGAGCGGCAAGTTCCTCGCCATTCGTCGCTCCTTCTTTGATCCCAACGGGGAAAATCAAGATCTCGGAAACGGCGTCCTGGCCTTCAAAGGTGTCTACCAGGCAATCCGTCCTGCACTGGTAAGCCATCCTCTCTCTTGTTGAGCTAACCAACATCTTGACTAATCGTTGCATTAGGGCCGTGGTCTCATTGTCAACGTCGATGTGTCCAACTCCTGCTTCTGGGCGCGGACCTCTTTCATGGGCGCTGCCATGGCGGTGCTCGATTGCCGGGACCATCAGCATCTGATGCACCTTCTCAAGCCTGTTGCCGACGGCCATGGTGGCGTTACTGAGTCGACTAGCTTTTACGAGGTTCATCGTCGCCTTCGCAAGCTCGGAGTCCAGCCACATTACAAAGGCTGTCCTTGCCTTGGTGTTGATTTCATCGTCAAGGGCTTGCTCAATGCAAACGCCCGCCAATACATCATCGAGATCAAAGACAAAGCCACCGGGAAGACCCAGAAGATGAGCGTGGAGGCCTACTTCAAGAAGAAGTACAATCTGACCTTGAACTACTGGGAGCTTCCTATGGTCGAGATGACCAAGAAAGGCGTCGTCTACCCGATGGAAGTCTTGACCATCCACGGACTCCATCGATACCCATGGAAGTTGAACGAGTATCAGACTTCGGCTATGATCAAGTATGCCGCATCGCGTCCCGCGGATCGACTTAATTCAATTCACAAGTCGAAGGCTATGCTCGACCATGCAAAAGACCCAGTTCTGAATACTTTCGGCTTTGCAATCGACAGCAACATGATTCGCACTAAGGCTCGTCTCTTGCCCAGCCCCGACATTCAGTTTGGTGGAAATCAGCGCCTGTCTCCTGGCACCAACGGTCGTTGGGATCTTCGTGGCAAGAAATTCTACCAGCCCAACAAGAGGCCTCTTGAAGCGTGGGGTGTGGGCTTCTTCCCTGGAAAGCGCAACGCTATCAACCAAACCCAGGTTCAGCAGTTCTGTGACTTACTTATGAAGACATATGCTGGTCATGGCGGTATGATCAAAAACAAGCCCCACATCCTCGAACTTCGTGAGGACATTGGCGAAGCTATTAAGCGTCTCTACAACACGACTGGTCAACGGTTCCAGAAAGATCCCCAGCTTCTGTTGATCATTGTCCCTGACAAGAACTCCTTCACATACACTCGCATCAAGAAGTCTTGCGACTGTCGCTGGGGGGTGCCCTCTCAAGTCTTGCAGTCCGGTCACTGCGTCAAGCTTAACCCTCAGTACGCCTCTAATGTCTTGATGAAGGTCAATGCCAAGCTCGGTGGTACAACGGCTCGTGCTGTACCCAAGGTTACTGAAGCAACGCTACGTCCTCGCTCCATGATCATCGGCGCTGATGTGACTCACTCCCCTCTGGGTGTCTGGTCGCCTTCCATGGCGGCAATGTCTGTTTGCATGGACACTTTCGGTGGCCGCTACTGGGGAGCCTGCGAGGCCAATGGAGATCGCCTTGAGATCATTGCCACTTCCAACATTGAGGTTATCTTGACTCCCCTTATTCGCGAATGGATGGCCACTGTTGGAGAAGGCAGGGCTCCGGACCACATCTACTACTTCCGAGATGGAGTTTCCACCGGACAGTTTGAACAGGTCCTTCAGCAGGAGGTCTTTGATATGAAGGCCATCTTCATGAAGCTCACCCAAGATCAGTTCAAGGGGAAGTTCACCGTCATCGTCGCGAACAAACGTCATCACCTGCGTGCCTTCCCCCGTCCTGGGGATCGCAACTCCGCGGATCGCAATGGCAACCCGCTTCCTGGTACTCTGATCACTCGAGACGTTACTAGCCCTCACGACTGGGACTTCCTTCTTTATTCGCACATCGCGCTTCAGGGAACTTCTCGTCCTGTGCACTACCATGTGATTCTGGACCAGATCAAGCACAAGGCCCAAGAGCTCGAGAATATGATCTACGACCACTGTTACCAATACATGCGCTCGACAACCTCGGTCTCTCTGTGTAAGTCACTCCCTTCTCCTACTTGCATGGCATTGAGTTTGCTAACGTATTACAAACTATAGTCCCCGCCGTCTACTATGCTCACCTCATTGCGACCCGAGCACGGCACCATGAGGATGTCCCGGCTAGCTCTGGTCCTCAGAGCGGCCCTGAGGTGAAGATGACTAACCCCAAGCCGAAGGACCGCCCCGTTGATCCCCGTCTTCTCCCCATTCATGGTACCTCCAATCGACTGCCTTTCGGAATGTGGTACATCTGAAGATTAGCACAGCCGTCACGACTCGCCCTCGGCCAGATCTGGCAACTTGCTTGGATGGTTCCCGAGTTGCAAATTTGTGCTTCTGTGATTTAATTCTGCGATTTCTTAGCTATGGAGGTACACTCAGAATTCAGGTCAGTGATAGCTGATCCAGTTGGGACCGACTGACTCGCTCCGGAGAGACGGATGGACCTGACGGGATGGCAGTTGCAAGCCAGAATACTTAGCAACCTAATGGGAATCATTTTATTGTTTCAATCCTGTTCCAATGACTTTAATCAACCATAGGTTAGAAGCCATATTACCTTGAACATGGCTCAGCTTCATAAGACTTCTCTAGGGATGTAGTTTCGATTCGTAAATTGCCTTACTTGTTTATCGGTCTGGCTGATGCGACCAACTCCTACAACTTCAGCGAAATGGGTTGAAGTTATGCTGAGACAGAGGCAATACAGTCTTACAACATTATATTGGTCGAAGCGTTGCATTTGTCTCTTCATTTTCTTCAAGTAGTAGGTCATATACTCTTGCCAGATCATTGCACCCAACCGGCTAGCTTGTAGACAACCATACATAGAACAAGAGATACAATCATGGAGATAGACAGCACTCATGAAAGGAAGAAAGAGCGATAGTTCGGATCGATTAAATGAGTCATGACTGTCAAGAATCCATACAATAACCTAACAAACCCGACAAAAGCTGGGCGGGCAAACAAAACGAGGACGACAAAGAAAGTGCAGACAAAGAATCAATGCACAGCACAGCCGTGTTGATCAGAAGATGCGTTGCTGGAGGACGTAGAGTTGATGCTGGTGTTCGTGTCCATGTGAGTCTCGAGTGATCATTATGGGATGGAGAGGAGAAGAGAAGCATTACCACTGACGCTCGCGTATTCAATGTTCTGTTGTATGGGCTGACGGCATTGATGATCGGAAGGGAAGCGACAGCAGTGTAAGTGGGTTGAGGAGAATTGGTAGCTCGATAACTCTTTCAATGCCAATGATCAGATGCTATGATCCGTGGAATGAGACGGGTTCTTTGGAAGACGACCGCTCCAAACTTATGTTGAGGTTGCTAATCGCTGTCGGTATCCGCTGTCTGGTCTAATTGCGGGGGAAAGCTTCAAGGCGTCTGAATGAAGCTCGTCTTATGTTCAAAAGGGCGCAGGTAGTCAAAGGGACGAATCGTTGAGAAATGAGGAAAGGGGTAAAAAAACATTGTTAAGAAAGAAAGGCCAGGTATAAAGATAGTAAGTAGTAATGATAAAGTTACAATACACAAGAAGTCTTCTCCAAGGCGTCCGGCAGCACCTGAATATCCTCAATGAAGGTCAAACCGGTCCGGCATCACAGTCATAAATCATGACGCATCGTCCGCAGTCCCATTGGTCAAGGGTACAGTACTGTCGTTATTTTTGCTCTGGTCGAGATTTGCAGTGTTGGTGGAAGCACTGCCTTCACCACCGACGGCATCGGACACAGCAGAGCCGTCAACCCCATTCTTAGCATTGCTAACTTCGGTTGTCGAAACCGCAGAGGTCTGATCTCCTGCTGCATCACCGGCCTTCAGATTCTTCAAGGCCGGATTGGCAGGTAGCGCACCGTCCATACTCGTTGCAGCTTCATCGCCCTCGGCAGTGGATCCTGGGATCCCTGCCGACCCACTGTTCTTCTTGACCTTTTTCTTGCTAGGCTCCGAGAAGGAGGGCCTGGGCACAGCTGACTGCCCGGGAGCAGACGGCGGGAGTGGCCTTTTCTGCGGACTGGAGGTAAGGCCCTGTTGGCCAGAAGGGGGAGGGATTTTGCCAGATGCTGGAAGGCGAGGTCGCGCAGCCATTGGTCTCTGCTTGGGCGGGAGCTCGAGATCTTCGACAAGGGGCTCGTTGTTGCTTGTCTGTAACTTGGCACGGAAGAATTCCTGCACCAGACCGATCTGCTTGGACACTGTTTCTGATGTGACACGTGGGTAGGGAGGTGGAGGTGGAAAGAGCGTGACGGCTTGAGCAGCGCTTTTAAAGGGGGATTAGCTCTAAGGGTTCACTGTCAAAGTCCACAAAGAAGTGACATACCTTGGGTTCTGGGCCTGAGCGGCATTATACATCCTGTTTTGAAGAAGATGAAGGGGAACGCTGAGGGTTGCAAGGCCAAATTCTCTGTCCAGCCCCAACTCCTTAAATCCGAAGAAGTCTTCGTCGATGTCCTCAGCGAAGTCACCACCGATGAACTGCTCACTTCCATCTGCAAATGCCTTCGAGCCATCTTCACCGCCGTCCGCAAGGGCAGGACGCAAGAGTTCCGAAAGCAAGGACCGCATGCGCTCATGCACAGTTGCCAATTTCGTTCCAAGTCGTTCGACATCGTCCTTGATGTAGGACTCGAGGGATTCCACGTCCGTTCCAACCGAAGAGAGAGTGTGTAAGACAATCTCGGGTTCAGTATAGGCCCGCTTCCACTGTGAAGTCGAAGACGAGGTTTCTGTAGGAGGGACTTTCGGAGCTTCCAAGTAGGACTTCATGGTCTCGCCTATCTTCAAGAAGAAGTCCGAAGCAATATCGGTTACTACATCCAGAGCTGACGGTTGATACTCCTCAAACCCTGTATGATAAAAGATCTTGGCGACTGAGCGCTGCAGAGCGGCTTTGCAGACCCATGGAGCCACCACTGGCCCCTCGTCATTCATGACATGAGGAGGGACATCTGCCTCGACAAAGGGCTCCGGATTGTACTTCTGGAATTGATTTTGATACATCTAAGACAGATTAGGAGGTTCCTCGTTACCAAGCAAAGAACCGAGACTTACCTGAGATTGCAGTTGCATTTGCTTAACAATCCCAATTTTTGAGCAGATCTTTCTTGTTTCTTGCATTTGCCGCATATTTGCATCCATTTTCCGAGAAAGCTTACTATCCGGCTGAACAAATAGTCCCTTTGGGAGAATCCTCAGAAACTCCTCTGATGCATCGATGACATTGCCATCGGCATCTTCCCTCCACAGCAACTGCTCCGGGAGATCAGGAACACCAGACATAACGTCGTAGTAATCGGGAATGACTTTCTCCTCGTCACCTTCAATGCCCTCGGCCAGGGTCTCACCAGCAGCATCGGCCTCCATGGCCTGCGAATTTGCATCGCGGGCGTGATCGCCTTCTGCAATGCTCTGTTTCTGGTTTCTCAACCATCTTCTCATTCCATGCTTTGTCCTAAGCAAGGCCGGTTCGTCCGAGTTGAGCTTGTCACCTTTGAAGAGGCGATGGCGCTCTGCAGCAATGACTGCTCGGTCCTTCTTCGTGACCTGCTTCCAGACCTTGTATTCAGGATCCTCAATCTCTATACCCGGTGTGTTTAGAGCGCTCAGTGCATTGTTCGGAGTTGGCAAACCGTCAATCTCCATCGAGTCGCCCGGTAGTCCCGTTCCGGCGCCGGTAGGGTCAGACGGTGTTTGGGTTCTCGGAGGCGGCGTCGCGAATCCATTCGGAGCTCCCTCCATGGCAACGTCAGAGTCMGAACGTACAGGCGCGGGCGGCTGAGAAGCTGGAGGTTCCGACGCGCTTGGAGTATCCCGAGCCGGAGCGGCGCCCTTCTTGGCGGCCGACTTGCCAGGGGCTTTCCTGCCTCTTGACGACATTATAGGCTCGTCGTCACTTTCCTCGGCACCGTCAAGCTCTGCGAGCTGCATCCTGCGTTCCTCCGCCTCGACTTCAGCGCGATCTCTGATGACGATATCCGGTATCAGGGGCACCAGCTTTTCGGTCTCCTTCTTCATGTACATGGCGTGCTTGCGCAGGAAATGCTCGGGATTCGTGTTGTACTTGAAACAGTTGGACCAGATAAGGTTGAGGTCATCGACAAACTCCTGTTTCGATTTGTACTGAAGCGCCTTGAGTTTCTTTGTCATTGTCCCCAGATCCATCGGGTGTTTGATGACTGCAATGGAGATCAGTACAGCTATTACTTGATACTACTACAGATCGCCTGTAGAGAAGGGGATGGTTTCTTACTGGAATAATAATCCGGAGCATCTCGCTTGTTGACACGAGTCAAGAAAGCTGATGAATGCTCTGTCATAGCCTTGAGCTCGCTCAACACCTTCTCGGCAGCTTCGTAGAGCTCCTCCTGACCAATCTTGTCTTCGCTGGCCCATTTGCTTCGATTCTTGCGGACTTCGCTCATCAAGCTTCGAAGTTCGGCGTCCGAGGCTTGGACCATGTTGCGCTTCATGTCGATCCTCGCAATGAGGTTCTTCAGGGTCAGACTCGAAGCGCCCAAGTTGGCATTACTCAGGGAGCCGTAACCGTCCGTGCTCGCGTTCGCATTGGTGCTGCCGGCATTGGCTTGACTAGACATTTCAGCTTCTACTTGCCTCTCGGACTCTTCTAGACGTTGTTGGTCCAGCATAGCGTCCCTGTCGTTCTCTAACGTGTGAAACATGGTGTGGAAACTTCTCCGCGCAGCTTCCTCGGTGGCTTTCTTGTCCTCCTCCAGCTTTTTTCGGATGTCTTCAAGCGTCTCCTTCTTCACTTCTTTCAGGCTATCGGCCGGAACCGAAGCAGCGGTACTTGGACGATGCTTCGGAGACGGGACGCCACTAGGGTCATGGGACGGAACCGATGACTTGGATTTGGGCGGGGTGGGAGCCTCAGCCTCCTCCTCATCATCGTCATCGTATTCGTCGTAGTCATCGTCGTCTAATTTTCTCGCCGGTTTCTTAGGGGCGACGGGGAGCGACACCGGTTCGTCGGCGCGGTTGGTTTGGGACTCGGGTTCCTCCGTCTCGGCGTCAGCAGCGCCGAGGTCTTCTGCGATATGTTTTTTCGCAAACAAGGCGTTTATTTTCGCCTCGCTGCACTTGTACAAATCCCGAAAGGTGGCAATGCGTGGATCTTCGTCGGCCGCAGTATCAGACTCCGATATCAAAGTACCCGCGTGAGCACCATCGGCCCCGGCAGAGGCGCGCATCTGCGGCGTCTTGAGCCCGGAAAAAGATTTAGAGTAGCCATTGACAGACCGCAAGTCATTGTGATCGTCGGGGTGCCGAAGATGCCCTGGTGGCTGCCAGGTGTGGTGGTGACCGAGCGACATGCTCGCTCCAAAACCCCGGTTCTGGGGCGGGCGAGGGGGCTCGTTTCTCCACGTTTAGGAACAAGTCCAGGAGGGAAAGAACAGGCGGGATTGACAGGGGAAAAAAGACATAGAGAGAAAGGTTCAATCGGTAAAAGTCACAGGAAGATTCTTCCCGGTCCAAAACCGATGGCGCGGGGGATGAAATTTGATGGCGAAGATGGACGCTTCTGTATGAGGATCTCTGCGCGAACAGATGAGGTGAGGTCGAACGTGAAGGCGGAAAGGCTGCCGCAGTTTCAGACCAATTGCGCAGTTCGAGGTTGGAGGCAGCAGAAGATCATCACGAGCAAATCTCTCTACTGATTTATTTGTAGAAAAGGAAATAGACAATAGGACGAATATGATTCTCAGTATGGCTTCTGTCAACAGTATCTTCTATTCTATTGTCAATCTCGAGTGATGATTCTCTCCATTATTTTTGCGCCTCAGGACAATAATGCAGCAACCCATCCAGATGCAGCAGCACATGACGAACCCGGAACGTCGCCAGTAATCAATCAGTAGACTAGCAGCAGTGAGACATCACCTTTTCCTTTATTCAATAAATTGCCGACAAATCTCCCAAGCTAGCTTCGAGCTCCTTAACCACTTCAGTTCTCTCTTCCACCATGCGAATCCGATACCCCTTCGCAGGTAAGTTCGAACGTCAAAAGTGTTCCACCCATAGCTTCAGGCATCACTTACTCTTTCCGGACAATACAACTCATACTGGCAACCACTCCCACAACTAACGATACACAGGCGCCTTTCTCTTCCTCCTAATTCTCGCAGCCTACATCGGCTTGCTCCCTCACAGCACCTCCTCCTCAATCCCATCAAACCTCCAACCAAACGACAAATTCCTCCACGTCGTCACCTTCTTCTTCCTCTCCCTCGTCTTCTACTGGATCCCGGATACCACCCGCCGCCGCTGTCTGCAATTGACCCTGCTCATCTGCACGCTCGCCCTCGGCATCGGCTCCGAGATCGTCCAGGCCATTCTCCCCAACGACCGCCCATTCGACCCCTTCGACATCCTCGCCAATCTCGTCGGCAGCCTGGGCGCCGTCGGCCTGTGCAGCTGGTACCACCGGCGGATGCTGGAGCGGCGGCGCAAGGCGCGCTTCGGGGCGCTGGGCGATGAGCACGGGGAGGACGTCGAGCTGGGCGGCCCTGGCGGTTCGGAGAGTGGCCTTGGGCCGCAGGAATCGGGCGTGATGACGCTGGAGCAGGAGGTCGACAATTGGGATGAGAATGCGGTGGATAACTGGGATACCGAGGAGGGTGCGGATGAGTATGCTGCTACTGCTCCAGGACGAGGTCCGGAGTCCAGAGTCTCGCCTGTTAATGGCGAGGGTGCGAAACGGTCAGATTGATTCGGCTCGCGGTTTGTTTGAKTCGTACGGTCTTGCCAGTTGCGCTGAGCAGATTGAAAAAACCACCACCGACGGGTGCATTTACAAGTCGCTCATCGCGGATGAGCTCATCATTTCTCATGATCGAACTGACATTGCATCCTTTGCCATGTCTATATGCCTCCGCCCTACCTTAATGACTGCCTCTGTGGAAAAGAAATTCTTATTTATGATATTTATGGCCATGTTGTGAATCTTCCGGGTGACGCTGTACATTGATATCGTCCGTTTTCTCTTGCTTATATACCACCCTCTACTTCGGGGAATTCTGTTTGGAATTGACGGCGTCGCATGTACTGAGCGAGAACCTTTAAACAACATTTTCTCTTGCTGGATGGTGATCTTTCAATTGAACCCGGGTCTACATGCCCCCGGGTTTTCGCGAGTCTAACCTATCCTTCACTGCTTGAAGACAGACAATTCAGTTGATCCAATGTCTCTAAAGAAACATGTATTGGATATTATATTCCTCGTAACCATATTCAGTAAATGTATGTTACACCAATTCTAATGCTGGGAAGTTCCGACCAGGAGGAAGAACGACCGTGAGAGCACGAGGAAACGTACGGGAGTCAGTAATCAATGAAGTAGTCAAACATGATCCGGTATGCGATAATGTGCGATAGTGACGAATAGACGCGATGCAGGCCAGGAAAACAATCATGATAAGTCGTCAACATAAGACAGGTGGAGTGTATCTGAAGGTAAGGGGTGTATGTACGGGGAATCGAAACGTGGGTATGTGTAATCGGAGTGCTTCATTCACGCTCGGAGTTTCCTGGCGTTCCAGGCCAGCTCCTCATGGCGAGGAACCATCAGTTACTGGCTCCAGCTCAGGTTTAAGGGAAGGTAGATACTCGGAGCTGTTGGATAGCTTGGCCATCTTCGCAGATCTCTCGTCTGATCTCCGCCCTGTATAGCTCGTCGTCTTGCCAAGTTTAAGGTCGACCTGCTCGCGGAGCACCTCGTAGATGAACTGTAGTTGCATCTCATTATAGACCATCATCATCCGCTGTTCTCGCATTCGGTTGACCGTTTCAAAAATGGGATCGGTTTGCGGGTCGGTCACCTGGAGCAGTTGCCCCGATTCGAGTTCCCGCAAAAGATGGTCTAATGCGATGAAAGTGCCGGTGCGACCAACACCAGCGCTGCAATGCACGATCCGTGGGTTATCCGGCGAACATTTGGACGCGGAGAGCTCGATCAAGTGAAGCAGCGCTTCGCGGTCCTCGCCTTCTGGCTTAGAGTAATCCGCCCAGCCAGCAAAAAGGAAATGCCAGACAAGCTTTGACTCGTTGGCCAATGTGAGTCGCAGTTTGCGAACCTCAGAGCGAGATTGTTGGTCAAAGCTCGATTCCAATAGAGTGACTTCGCCCATTATGTTGTCATTCGCTTCTTCGTACTCCTCGTTGTGCTCGAAAGGGTCATCCTCGTCGCGCCGCAGAATCATGGAAGGCCGGTCATGGTCTAAGGGAAAGTATTGTGCACATTTTTCACGGCCCGACTCGACCGTCTGCGTGAGCATGACGACGACAGCAACATCCTTGCTTTCGTGGAATACCATGTGCCAGAAATGAGCAAGGTGCCCTACTTTCGGTCCCTTCATACACAAAAATTAGTGAGATGGGCCACCGTGATATACCAGCATACGGATGCCCACATACCTGTGTTGCAATGTACCTCCTCTCCTCCCGAGACACCGAATCAGTAAGCACGATGGGCGATGCATTGATGAAATCGCATTCGCCTTCCGGCACCCTGAGATGGATCCGCGAGTTGGCCCATGCCTGCACATTCATATATCGGTTTCGAGCCCTGACCTCGGGGTCCGCCTCCAAAGCCCAACGGTGGGCGGGGTCATTCGACAGCATCCCCTCGGCGAAGCGCGCCCGTTGTAGCCATTCCAATTCCTCAAATTTCTGATGTATTTCTACGATAATTATGAAGCGTCAGTAACTCTGCGACACTTCAGGACAACAACGTCCTGCGCAGCGATCGGCAACCGCAGTTGTGACGGGATGGGCGCATACTGACCGATCGCAGATTGGCACAGAAACGGGGGAACGAGTTCATTATCGCCAGCTTCCAGGCCGGGATCATCTAACTCGGAACCGGACACAACGTCAAAAGCACCTTCAGTATCTTCGGGTAGAGCACGCTTGGTCGTCTGGACACTCGTATCGATCTTGATGGTGGGATGCGCCATCTTGGCCGCAGCGATCCTTTGGAAGGCTCGAACCTTGCCTAGGACGCCGCGCGCCTTCTTCGAGACCCGCTTTCGAGTTGAAGCAAGCTTTCGACTGCCGCTGCGGAAACTGAGAGTATCTGGAGAAGGGGAGCGGGAGGGTGGTGCTGTAATAATCTGCCCCGCGTTGCCGTCCGATGGGTCGTCGCTCGTGCCGTTGGAGGGGTGTGGCAGGGATGATATCTGTAGCGTGGACAGATCGGGACAGCTGTGGCAGCTGCCCCTGGTCGTGATTTTCTTGGCCAGATTTTCAGGTCTCACAGGAACAAATTGCTGTCGATTAATATCTAAGGAAGGATGAGTGTTTGTATAGAATCGGGTCGGTCGCGAGGCCACCGTTAAGGTCCACGAAATGGGGGAGGAATAGGGTAATCTCGACCAGTTTCTCCTACGTTGAGGCAGGAGGTAACGCAGACAGGATATTTCCTTTCGAAACGTCAATGCTATGCGCGATCAAGGGCTGTTAAGGTCGATAGTACCAAAGGTATAAAATTGCGGGAAAAATTATTCAGGGAAAAATTACAAAAAAAAAGAAAGGAATACTGAAGGGAGATTATTGGAGCCCCTCACGATACGCGATCAATTTTGGTCTCCCCGCACCTGCAAGAGTAATGTAAAAGTTGATTAGAACGTGGCCAGGAACCTGTCGATCAATATATATTCAAAAGAAAATAGCGTATAAGCAGAGTAGTTGTTGGCAGAAGAAGGAACAAAGGGACTAGAAGAGGGACAGGATCATCTAATAGTGTGAAATGCTATGTTTCAACTTTCAGGAACAAAGGCTATGATAGAATTGGTGGTGTGTTTCTAGTGATGTAATCGCTAAAAGGAGGATGTTGATACCACATAAAGAGAAAGAAAACACAGGGGAAGGGGAGAAAGTCGACTGTAAGTATCCATAAAAAGAGCTCTACTAGGTGTTTTTAGAGCCCTGCGAGAAGTGTGGGAAGGATAAATGTGCTACAAAAACAACAAAGCAACAATAATTACTCTGAACTCTAGCTACAGTCCTAGTGTTCTCACTGCTCAAGATCAATACGTATATCCAAGATATCTTGACTTGGAGGCAAAGAAACTCGGTTTCTTCTATGGAGGACGAGAAGATCATTAGAACAGCAAATCTCCGCTTCTGACTGGTCGAGCTGTCAAACGCGCCACAAAAAGGCTAAAAAACCGCCTAAGGGCTCTCTCCCCGCGCAGAGCCTCTTTTTCTTCCCAACTCCCAGTCGTCACACACCAAAATACGGCTACTATTTCATCCTATGCTCTACGCTCAGGTCTTATGGGTGCCTGATGGATTCAGATGACGCCTAAGATCACATGGAATTGTCTTCTATAAGCTTTGAAAATTAATTATCACAAGTTCACAAATGGTTTTCAAGCTTTTTTGGCTCCGAACCCTGGAGGTATGTAGCACTCCTGACAGACCAAAGTCTCGGCGGCCAGCTCTTGACCTGACATATGAATAGGTTTGGTTAACTGCACGGGTTTGTTTTGCCTTAATTGCATCTCGACAAAGATTCGCAAATGCTGACTTGTCAACTACAGCTGCTGGCCAGCCCGACATTTCACAGGATGGTTGGAAGAGTCCACCAAAAGATTCAACACCTCAGGTATGGGGTACCTCCCGAGGAAATGGGAGGTACCAAGCTTGAAAAGAATGGTATGCGAGATACTGCTCCAGAAGCGATCTGTTCTCTGAAGAGATTGTGCTGACGGCTTTGCCCGAAGGTCCCGGCCTCAAACGGTTCTTCGAATACTTTAAAGAAGAAATCAAAGATCAGCTTAAGGGGAAGCCACCGAATAAACTATGAAACCCGACCTTACCAGATTCTCGATGTCTCATGAGTCGAGTGTACGATATTGTTTTGTGATGACCTACAATGATACCCATCCATCGCTTTCTCTGCTTTGGCTTCCCCCGCCTCATTCGCGATAGAATGTCTGTACCGTTGAGCTCTGTTTAGACCGGATAAAGATTGGGCTGCAGATTCCCTCGCGCCGTGAGCTGCAACCCTCATTCCATCCGAAGAAGAACGTCTTGCTTCATTCCGCTTTGCCCAGCCGATTTCTATGGACTGTTTGGCTAGGCTTTGAAGTTCGAAGCATATATAGATAATAATTCTTATTATGTCGTTTTCTTCAAAGTAGCAAGTAGCTTAGTGTTGGCGACAGATGAAACGACCACCATAATGTACGATCCTTCAGAAGCCCTTAGAAATGACCCCTTGACAATCGCACAGCCTCGGGGCGGTTCTATGAAGAGCAGAACGTGTATCTCGGCCATCCCKGTCACTATTACTGAACCCTGATTCGAGATGATAGCTCATGTAAACAATGACCGTCCGAGTTCTGTACCTGCAGGAGGTACACGTTACGAGAGCCCATTTGTGCATATGTCTTCGAAATATCATACGCCTGTAGTCAGGTAGGTGGGGACCTCGAAGGTGCCGACGTATGCCGCCGACGAACTACTACCAGCGCAGTTTCGACTTCAGATGTTTCATGGGGGCTTTCGCTGATAAGGACATTCATGGTTGATCAGACTACCGTCGCCCTTTGGACGTGAGAGTTCTGCGGTGATACATCCTATGTATGTCCTTCTTTCAGCTCTATCTTAAGTAATATGCATTCCTTGGATCTTGGTAATGTAACAAGCTGGAAGAATCTGACGACTGAAGTCCCTTGCACATGAAGCATACAGTAAGAACCCCAAAACAACTAGGTATGTGGCGTTCCGTGACATGAGGCGTATTTGCGTACGTGGTCGGCATGTCCGGCACACGTAAGATAGGTGAGTATCCATCACTGCCATAAACGGAAGTTTTTCCTGGTAATTTACGGAGAATGGCGGATGGTCGATCCAAGGGAGTGGTTGACGATACCTTCATTAAAGATATATGCCATTATATTCCGTGTCTGAGTACATTTCTTAAGTTTCCATAGAAATGGAATGATGACTGAGCGAGGCTCGACAATGTTTGTTGTGTTTAGATAATATTAATTGGCGCATGATCCAAGGAGACAACTCATCAAAGGATGCGAAGCACTTTTGAGTGGTGGGTATTACCACTCCAACAAGCGGCTGGGGCGCTGGTAGGTCGTAAGGTATGGTAAATGTTCATTAAGTTGGTGCCTTAAAATAGCAGCATTGATGAATAAGCATCTTGAGTTTTAGTAGATTGTTATGTTATGCAGTGGTCAGCTGGCATATCCAAAGGAGCCGATAGCCCGACATTGGAGAATACCACACTAGCTCCGGCTAGAATTCTTTTCCTGTGTGCCCATTGGAGAAGAAGGGTCTAGACTGTCTCATATTCTTTGTGGCTATTGGCCAGCTGTCTCTTTAGTTGCAGCGCTAGTCCTGGGTCCGTACTCTGAGTACATTTATTTTCTGGCACTGGTGTTTGGGCTTTTCCGGAGATGGTATGGCGGTACGGTAACGCAGTACCGGGTCAGGCCCAAATCTGAGACCTCTGGACTGGCAGTACAACGTCCCTTGGGTACCATTACGATCCTGCGACGGTTTCTGTCTTTCATTCTTTTCCTTCCTCCTGACTTTCCAACCCTTTCTTCTTTCTCCAGTCCTTTCCTCTTATCCCGCCTCCCTTACGCTCGCTTGCTGCACATCGTGCCTCCTCTTCGAATTTGGTCATTCGTTAACCCCTCAGTCACTGTGTGCCTCTCCTGACTTGAAACACCTGCACTTCACGCGCCAAAGAGGTCTCACTTATTTGAACACCTCAGTCAGCAGTCTCAACACAGCCCCGTCTTGAGCCGAGTCATCTCATATACGGTCACCATCTCGGCTTAAGAGATCTTCGACATCTTCGACTAAGTCAGCTCTCGGTCTCACACCTCACCCATCATGCGTGTTGACTGTCTATCGTTCTTCCTCTACTCTCTGGCCCTCGTGGCCGTCACCGCTGGGCAGAGCCAGGGAGTTACTGACATATCCGCCGTCACCTCTGGGGTCGGAGTGCCGACCGCGGGCACGGGCACGTCGACGACCTCGACAACATCATCGTCTCAGTCCAAAGAAACCACTTCTACTACTAGTTCTGAAAGTACAAAGTCGACAACAAGCACATCAACAGATACTACCTCGACCACTTCCAAGAACGATAACACTCAGACTACCCCAACCTCGAGTTCCACAACTTCCAAAGACAGCGCTCCAACGTCTACCACCACCTCTGATGGTACGTCGGCCACTGAGACCAGCGGAACGAAGACTTCCAGTACGAGCGATGTGGTCAAGACGATCACCACGACTCACACGATCAGTGGAACGCCCGTGCCGACCACGTACACCACCACTTCTCCACAGGGCAGCAGCTCGACAGATTCCCCTAGCTTGAACGGCTCCACCAACAAGGACTCCAGCTCTGGTCTCTCTTCTTCTCAAAAGAAAATCATTATCGGTGTCGTGGTGGGTGTTGGTGGTGCCATCATCGTCGGTGCTATTGCTGTAGTCATGTGGAGGATCCGTGCCAGAAGACGTGCTGCGGCCGACAACGACGAGGCTGCCGATCTCATGAGTGGCACAGCTGTCGGTAGCGGTGCTCGAGAGAAGGCCCCCAGCCCTGGAGCTGGCGGAACACCATTCAGAAGTACACTTGACCAATACCACAACCCTGGTCCTGTTAACGCTGCGTCCAACTTCTAAGGGTCATCTAGGCCACTTCGGCCTATGACAGTTCCTGGGTACCCTTCAAGGTTGTACATCTGTATGAGTATATGCACGTCCTTTTTCATTTGGCGCTTATGAGTGGGAAGCATCTTTGCCCTTTTTCCTTGCTTTCTTTCCGGTGGATTGCGTTCTCGCCATCTGCAATCGTATCTTTTCTTGCATCGTGCCACTGGCACGCGATAGACTGTCCGTCATTCCTTTTGAAGATTACGCTCCTTTCTGCAGCTCAGCTGTTTGTCTCACGATGGTCTTTTTTGATTCCCCCTTTCGAACAACTTGATTATGTACAGGAATGCAGTGGTTCGTCTTATCTCCGTCGCCGTCTCTCCTTCTGCAAAAATGGTTGTGATCGCATAGCCATTTGACCAAAATCTTGTCATGTATTTACCTTTTAATTTCAGCAGACGGAAAAATAGTCCAAAACACACTCAAATCTATCACCAACCGTATTACTGGGGTACTTGGTAGTTCGTGTTGAGTAGAGATCTATGACACATTTGCGGATGTGTCCATACAATTGAGATTAGCAGTTTCAGTAAGGATCACAACAACCCAATATTATGATGTCTAGGTTACTGCGGTCTTCGCCAGACTCCATGATCGCTAGGTTTGACTTTGATGGGTTTGAGTTCAATCAGACAAATTGGATAGGTATACCAACAGCAAGACAGGGGCGTTCGAGTCCTGAAACAACCGCTCCCTTTCCCCGCCTCAGTCCGTGCATGGTTACTCATCGTCTCATTCACTCAATCAAATGATGAATTTTCTAATACGACTTATCATTTACAAAAACAATGCAAGCTCAATAGTCACGGTCAATTGGGTCATTGCGCTTATACAGGGATTGTGGCTCATCCCAGAGCATTGATATCCGCGCGCGTCCACAGCCAAGGCCTAACTGTGCAAACAAAATGAGAACAACTATCTCCTTGCTCTGTCTGTTCGCTCGGGCTAGCTGTCTCCTCTGTCTTTGGTCACTATTTGCTCTGGTTCAAGGGGTGGCGGCGTCAAGACATGACCCCCTAGGTCTGGTATATGAGGCGGCGGCGGCGCCGCCACCGCTAGGAAAACGACAAGATCTTCAAGTTCGGGTTACGCCTTTTGTCTCTCTTCTTGGAGCTTTGGGCTGTGTGGCTAATTGTATTCGTTAACAATAGTCCTTTGCGGGGGCGTTGGGTGGTGCCGCGCCTGCGGTGAGTTGTTTTTGATCGGGGTTACACGTGCTGGTGGGAACGAGACTGATGCTCTCTTGTGTAGGTGACGAGCACTGGGGATTCTAAGAGACCGTACGGTGTTAGTGGGAATACTTTTGTATGTTCCGTTTCCTGCGCCGTGCTGTTGCGGGTGTGAAGCCGACGGTCATGCTAATGGGTTATCCTGCAGACGGATTTCGAGTCGGCTGCTCAACGGAGGTTCGTCTGATCCAGCGGTGGAGCATGCAAATGGAATGCTGACGACTCTCGTGCTTGACAGCTGCAATGAGCAATTCGATTCCTGCCAAAAGGTAGATCCTGCTGATACCCAAAATGGGTCGTCTCTGACCGGACTTGATACAGATAGCGAATACAGACCGATCGGCGTCCTTCTCGCTGCAGGATTGTCAGAACCAGCTGAGTATGTTGACGTTCCGGCTCACATGAAGATATGATGTGAATTGACGTCGGTCTAGAAAGCTGCATGTCAGTATCAACGGTGCAGGCCACGGCGGCTAGTATCAACCATCTCGGGTCCGCAAGTGATACGAATCCAGGACCCATAGCTCAGACGACGATTCCATATGATGATGAGTTCGATCTTGTGTGTGATTTATGATGGTTTTCCTGTACAAACTGCTGCTCCAAACTTGGACATGCGCTCAATCGCTTGTGGTGATGGATGAACTAGATGAATTGAAACATGCGTACATAGACTTCTACTTGAGGAGTACATAATCTCTCAACCCAACACGGACAATTTACTACAGCGATCAACAGTGTGTACTTCTTGTAACTGATGGGATGGCTACCAACACAGTCCTAAGGTACACATCACTAATACGTCAGCTTGCACTCCCGATATTATTACCTACCATACTAGATCGCTGTAGATAATTTTGAAGCCTGAGGAATGCAATACTTCCTAATACAGATTAGCGTCTACAGCAAGTCGCGTGACCCCGTGCAGAGACGCGATTTTAGCGGATTATTGAGACGGTCATTTTGGGGGAATTCCCGGCTCGCTATCGACGCGACGGTGGCTGGACACGATAACAGAGCAACGATATTAATCTCCAGACAAGCACCATGACTCCACAATAGACCCTGCTATCATTGACTCCCACACTTAATCGCTATTGTCCGGAGTATTGGCCTTCATCAAAACAACAATTGACCCGATTTTACTTCGACCGCCACCATCCCGACATCCACTTCCCCAGTCTAGTTACCATGTTCGCAGCAATCCCACCCGCACAGCCCTACGCCTTCCAAGCGTCCTGCTCGCATTATACACCAATGCATCAGTCTCCATTGTCGCCGCGCAACTCGACGCTTGCGTCGACACGGCCAGCGAACGGAGTTTCCTCCGCATCAACTGCATACACCGAACGTCGCGCAACAAGCGACACAGACCGAGAAGACTCGGCATCAACCCAAGCACACAACTTTTCCTTCTATACAGAAAACACCAACTCTACCACGACCACGACCACACTGTCAAGCCCCTTCTCCTCGCGCTCCCGTTCGTCGCCTACCTACGCACAGCGCTACGCAGCCCTCTCCAACCCCCTCAACAATGCCTCCCGGACATACGCCACCTCGGCCTCGCCATCCGCGCGCAACACACGAAGGACCGTCTTTCTCAACCGAATCAAGGCCGACCGGGACGCGGAGCGGTTTGAGAACCGCGGTGAGCAGCTGATGATGATGGAGCATGTGGCGGAGCAGAAGCAGTGGGGGGAGCTGATGCGACGGCGGGCGGATGGACTCATGGAAGCGTATCAGTTGAATGAGGATGTAGGGGAGGACATGGATGGTATTGGTATGTTTCTCCTCTTGAAGGGTGCAGGAAAATCAAAGAAGGAATCTGACAGTATGTAGATGATGCGGATGTGCGTGCTTTGGATGCGTATGTCTCTGAGGAGCAGGCTATGGAAACTGCGCTGTTGGAGACGGCGCATGTGCCATTCGGGAAGACGGAGAGAATGCATGATGCGAGCTCCTCGTTCAGTGATGAGGAGTATGATGATATTTTCATGGGTCTGGCCGATCAAGTACCGCAGAGCCAGGATATGGATATGTCGAGTGGATGAGTATACTGGCGACGGTCATTGAGCATGCATTGCTGGCGTTTGGACGGTATCTGGCGTTGGTGTAGGAACTTTTCCCAGACTCAGGGAACCTAGAGGCTGGTTGTGCATAGATCTATCGGCAGAGGCCGTATCTTCATTGATGTAAATAGGGTATCGACGTGGTTATATGTACAGAACATGCCAATAATAGATGGTATCAAATCTAAACCAGACACCATCGCATCGAAGCCTCAAGCAATCACCATACCCACTAACATAAGTTCTCAGATGCCAACCTTATTGCTGGGGGCAGTCGGGCAAAGCTGCCCCAGACCCGTCGCCTCCTGTAACGTCCTCCGGCCAGGGATTCGCAACAAGTTCTTCCGGGGGACTACCCAACGCTTGCATCTAGAAGGTATGAGCATAGGCCTACAGCAGTGTAGAGAAAAAGAAAAACATACCTCTTGCATCTTGTCCCACACAGCCTGCCGATACTTCGGATCTTCATCTGTATACCCTTCCTCCTCGAACTTGGCCACAATCTCAGTCACAAGCTTAGCCTGCTTTTCATATCGCTCCATATCCTCCGCGGGAACCTTGCCCTTATTATCCTTCAACCACGGCCCCCACTTCGCATCCAACTCCTTCATCGGCTCATACAGCATCTCCTTATTAGAAAACTGCTCCATCACGCCGGCAATCATCTGAGTGAGATCGAGGTCGTCGCCCCCGTTCCCGACGCCCGCCTCTAACCCCTTGAGCAACTGCATCAGCATGTCCTCCGAAATTCCCCCGTCCTCCGTCGCCGCCGCCGTAGCCTTATCCCCAGACTCTTTCATCCGATGGATAGTCCGCTGAATAGCATCATTGAAGGACTCTGGCGCAGCCGCTTTCCCGGCACCAGTAGCAGAGCCCGACGGTCCACCGGTACTCGGGCCCGCGCCTGCACTCGCACTCGCACTCGCAGCCGCAGCCGCAGCCGCACCAGCGCCCTCGCCCTCCTCCGCCATGACATCTGCCAGCAGCTGCTTCAAAAAGTCACCAGGCGGGATCCCGCTCTCCTCGAGCTGCTTCGTGAACGCATCCGCCCCCTGGTTTATCGCGTTCTCGAACTCCTTGTTATCCGGCGCGCCGGACTCCTGCGCGGCGTGGTTCATCATCTTCGCCATGTCCTGCTCGAGCTGGCGCATGAAGGCGTCTTCGTCGATGTCTTCATTGGCGGGGGCTGGTGCGCTTGCAGGTGCAGGTGCGGTTGCGATTGGCTGGGGCGTGGGTTTGGAGAAGTTATCCAGGACGTCTGGGTCAGGTTAGCTTCACAGGTCCTCCATCACTCATGTGCAGGGGTGGCGGGTCGTACCGTCCAACTCGTCAAACTCTGAGTCTTCGTCCTCGTTGGCATCTTCTACGGTTGTTTTTGATGAAGGAGCTTCCTTTGGTGCCTCTGTCGCTGTAGCTGTGGGCTTCTCATCGCCAGGCGAGCTTGCGCTGGTTGTAGGTGCTGGGGTGGTGTGGTCGGGAGCGTCCACTGCGGGTGCGGGTGGGCTCTCCTCATGATGCTGTTGAGTGACGCCTGCACTGGTATTCGGTGATGAGGAGTCCATTGTGTCGGGGGATTATATCTCCTGAGTAATTCCGAGAAAACGACTCGAAAAGAATCAAAAGGGTAGAGGCCGGCGCTGTGGTGAAAGGAGTCTGGCAGACGCGCGCATGTGAATGAAGAATTGTCGGGGTTTCTTTTGGCGGGGAACCGAAAGCCGATCGCCGCGGCATCGCCAGTACAGTACTACGGAGGACGCCGTGCGGGCGTGCTACTATTTCAACAGAGGCCTTACAACGCCTTGGAGGATTTGACTCTTTTATACACACTCATGTATTCTTACGAATCCACTCGTCCTCATCTAGTTCTTTAGCGGAGCTACGCTTGCCCGGCTCCCACTGCAACATCTTCCGCATAAAGCGTAGAAAACTCGCTTTGTCCTGTCCCTCGAGAGTAGTTTCCCTGTCCTCGAGCGGAATCCGATCTCGTAATGGAATTCCAGCGCAGAAGTCGCCTAGAAGGTCAGCTTCGTGAGTAGATGGTGGAACTTACCAGAAAAGAAGTTGCCTTACCTTCATCGGAAAAGAATTTGCGGCTCGCCTTCCCTTGAGCAAGAAGACTGAGCGGCGGGGGCCCAAGAAGACTGATCATCTCAGCGAGGTGAGCTCGACTTCGGTATGTCTGAAGTTCTGGGTCGTGGCCGGTAAATAAGGACTCGCCTTCGAAAATGTCCCAAATCTGTGATACAACTTTTCAGAAAAATGCTGCACCAGTATCATCGGACCCATTGTCTTACCATACATCCCACATTCCATATATCAACGCTGTACGTCCAGGGGACTTCCAGAATCACCTCCGGCGCTCGATAAATATTAGGTTGAATGTCTTCCGAGTGCTCTGTGCCACCGGACACCGCTGAGCCAAAGTCGCAGAGGACAGGGGCGCCCCATTCCTTGGGCATTCTGAGGTCCCGGGAGACGTAGATTATTCTTCCATCTAGTTCCTTCCTTGGGCAAGGGGTTTGAAGCTCCCGCTCTTCAAAGTCACTGAAAACCGAGTCATCGGCGATGCCAAACATGATGTTGTCGGCCTTGATGTCTGATGGATTTCTCTAGTAAGTGGATGATAGAGGCAAAGGAAGATGGAATCGGAGCAGAGACCTGTATGTATAATCTGGCATTCTGTATGCAGATAGTCTAGCGCCAAAAACAGGCGCTTCAGCACAAATGCCAGTACCGGTTTAGGCAGCCTACGGACTGGGTTGCGGCGCAGAAAAGTCAAAACACTCTCCCATAATGGAGGATGCACGAGGCACCGATGTTTGTCGTCGGGCCCATCGACATCAAACGAGTCGAGTAACGATCTAACAGCATTGCGACCTGGGTGGCTTGTCGAGCCTCTCTCCATGCGTTGGTACATCTTGAGCTCGTCATCCAATTGCTGTCCCATGGAGGTAGACTTGATGAAGATCTTGAGGGTAACATAACGACAACAGCTGTTATAGCGCGTGAGCGAGTGAATTCATGAATGCATAGGATCTCACTTCATGTCCCGAGCAAGCCATACGGTTGAGCTAGTTCCGAAGCCCAGTTTTCCTATGATTTGATATCGATCCTTTGAAAATCTCTCCTATTCGAACAGGGTAATATCTGGAAGCAACATAATCCGGGATGGTCTCTTCTTCGATCTTCTGACGGACAGGTATCCGGACGAAGTTCGGATTGGAGAATTTGAGGGGCTTCCATGTCCGTCCGAGTCGAGATAAAGACTGTAGAAGCGATGGAAACATTATCATAAGAACTATTTTGTAAATCTCTGGAAATGAACGAACAGAATGAATCTGATCGACATCTGTGGATGCTCTGTAGTTTAGGCACTAACCCCCGACAAGCCGGAGAAGCAAGCAATTCTTGCGCATTGTAAGCGTCGTGCAAGGGTCTTCACACTTATTAAAGACAAGGCTGCTGCTATGGGGCTATATATCATTCAGCAAGATAAAATCATGGGGACATGAGGAATCATTCAGATTAGTAACTTTAATTGAACGACAGAAGCACTTTAAGGTAGGATTTAAGTAGATGGGTTTCCTGGGGATCATCACAGTGCGGGATCTCCACATAACAATGATGCTTATGAGATTTAGCCGCCAGACACTTCCTGTGACCAACGACAATATCAAAACATAATCTGATGAGGCCAGAACCACGCCTGGCTTTGACAAAAGTTGAAACCAGTACAATAGTTGACCAGTGTCGGAGTCGCAATGGCGTCATTGATGAGGGCAAGAATCCAGGTGACTCGACACTTGACTATTCCTGCTCCCAATTCCGCACTGTACGTAGGTATCACGCTCTCTGCTGGAGGTGGCAGACTTCAATTGCCTTGACATATACCCCGTATGCGTCCTGATAGACCTTCACGGGGAGAGTTCATGGCCGTGTCTATATCACGAACTGCGATGCCAGGAATGGCTCAGTAGGCGGAAGCAAGCTCAAGCCGACGTATGACCTCTAGCGGAGGCAACGTGTTCTTGTTCGCCTGAGCAGTAGCAACCAGGCTTCGGCCTCAGTGTTGAGCTTCATGGCTAATTCGCCCTTGACACCTTCTTTTAGCCTTTTCGACGATACTGCTACCGGCTCTCCTGGACCGTTACCAGCGCCGTTAGGTCGTCCATATCCTCCAGGACCTCCTTTGTCAGCCTTTACACTGTTCCATTCCTTGAAAAAGCCATCACACAAAACACATCCATTCCTGTCCTGTTGTATGCATCTGTTCCCCTGTCCTGCATCTGTGAACGCCCACATTGAACAGAAAGACTAGTGATAATCAGCTGATGTGGTGAGACAAACAGGGAAGATATAGACAGGCCTGATGATAAGACAAGGCCTGGTGCGTGTGTGCTTATATTGGATGGTGTGAGGGCCGTGTTTGTGTTAGCTCATCTCTCTTCTGTCCAGTTGCAAGACATATAAGCATTCTCCATAGAGCTTCGTCATGTTGGTCAATACATCGGACTTTGTCCATTTTTCGTTGTCCAAGCCCAGGATGCGTGCGGAACTGCCTGTTACGTTCCGGTAATCCTAAGGGCCACTGGCCTTGATGCATGTGAGCTATGGAAATGCTGGCAAAGGGCACATATTTGAAGCAGTGCTGAAGATGGGCAGGGTTAAAGTAAGCTATAGCTTGCTGTATGTCTCCTTCGCCTCACATCTCTTGCCATTTCTTTCTCCGGTGGATTCGAGAGAGTAGGATTCATATTGCTGGGAAAGGGGTCGCTGACAGCTGTTCCTGGGATCAATCCTTGGAGATAGGCATATAAATTATGAGTATCTTCAAACGCACAGTGAATCACTGTCGCTGCTCGAGGTTATGATGTTCTAGGAGTTGGATTCGACTAATCTAGCATAACCATTAGAATTCGGCTATCCAAGTTCTGGGTAGGAGTGTCTCTAAGTCTCAACCCCGACCCGACCTCCCGCCTGTGGCCATTGGCTTCCTGGCTCATTGATTGTTGTTTCAGGAGACAGACATGATTACTTCGTAGTCGGGGTGATTCTTTAAGAGCCCCACCTTCTATTTAGCTATGGATTGGTAAAAAGAATCGGCATGGTCCGACCTGACAAAGGGATTTCAGGAAAGGAACGATTCACTAGAGGGGCATTAGTATGTAAAATAAGATTCTAATGAAAAGGGGCAACAAAGTAGAGCCCTTTTAGCACGGTGTACTCCGAGTAGAGTCGATGTAAGAATTTCCCTATTTAAAAGCATCTAGAGATACCAAAGGCATCTGCAGTCCCTGGATGGAGGACTTATAGAACTGGCATCTTGATGATTGTTTACTTTTTGTATCTTGATCAATAAAGGACAAAGATCATGGTGAGTCGACAATGCCTCACTGGCATCCCGCTAGCTTACCCCGCGGAAAAGACACCCCTCATCCCCCTGATTGTTTGCCAAGAGTGCAGGGAAAAGCTCAGATCATCAGATGATGTGCCCCGTGGCTGATCCTCGTGATGTCACTCCTTGCCTGTGTCTTTGGCGCTTGGGTAAGCCTCTTCACAACTAAATGATTGATAGGCGACAGGGATACGAGGTACGTGTCTTCTTTCTCCTCGCGGAAAGTGCCCTGCCAGCCAGACTGCCAGGCTTAGCGGAGGTCTCCTATGTGACCATAACAGTGGGATGGGGTATATTAGCCTGCCAGGGAAGGTCATGTGCCATCGCCCAGAATCAATAGTAATAATAGCTTCTGCTAGGATGGAGTCCTCATAGGGTAATTTAGTCGAGCGTCCTGATCGAGTTGTATGTTTTGTTTGTACGTTCCAGAACTGCACGACGTCCACGGATCTCCGTACTGTGAGCCGATGGAAGCCGGCATCGGCGGGTCTCGTCCGTACGCCGTACATAAGAACCATGCCATAGTTCTTGCTACGGAAGGTTGCAATTCCGCCATCCTAGTTTGTGGATGCGAAAATGATTTGTCGGGAAGTGAAAATTCAACTGCTCCAATATCTATCGCAGTGAAAAAGTCAAAGGGAGATTAAGCGAGAGGTGTACCAGGGACACCCGAGCAGAATTTTCCAGTATCAGAAATCTGAGAGGATGGAGAAAATACAGTATTCTTGGCTTGTAAGAATGGTAACATGAGCGTATTGGCCTATCCGTACGGCTTCTCCGCGGACAACCACCAACCTGACAGTAGCCTCGTCTAGAATGAGATGCGTAGAATAGTGGGAGAATGATGAAGGGGATGGAGCTTTGGGGTCCTATGGAGGTAGTTAAACAGCGAAGCGTTATATCTCAAAACCTGGGCAGCTTCCTATCTGCTGTTTATTGAGAAATGGCATGTATGCTCTCTTGGAAACGAAAATGGATCTCCTGTCACGGCCAAGTCCACCTGTTGCCTGCATTGGGACATGGCGTTGAGGGGTGACCTAGACGGACCAACGAGTCCACAGGGTACAACCTCGAGGGGCGCACACTGACGACTGACGGCCGACTTGTTCACGTTGTTTCTTGACCGTGCCCTGATGGATCTTCGGCTGGTTTGATGAATCAGACTGTCTCGGTGGGTCGATACCTTCCGTTCGCCGACAGAGAAGGAAAAGAAATAAAGAGAATGTGCAGGATTCTCAACTTTTACTGAATTGACCAAAAGGAGGGGAAACCACCTGTTTGCTGAGTTAGATAGACTGAGGGGGGGGTAAGAGTTTGATTAAGTAGGAAAAAGAAAAGAAAGCGAGTTCATAGCATGACATCTGAGGCTATCGCTCTGTTTGAGCCTAGAGGCTATGGTTCTCCGGTGTCCACCACGGGCAAGTCGCTTTTTTCCGCTTCCTTTTTCTTTCTTTCTTTTTTTTTTTTTTTTTTTTAACTTTTTCTTTTTTACTCCTCTCCGGGTGTCTCCCTCGATCAACAATTGGATTCAAGCGACAAAGTGGGCTTTTACTTCTTCTTTTGAACTCTTGCCCCAAGTCACTAGAAACAAAACTAATTATAAGATCCCTTTCTTGTTAGTAAATAATTTTACCTCACATCTTCCCACCACCACTCCCTTTCTCTCCTCTTACCATCCTCAATCTAACGTTTTAGCAATCGTGCTGTATCTCTTATTCCATCATCAATTTCCTTTATGTCACATATCGACTTAGGCTCTTTCAACCTGACTACCATCCGCAACAGCCGCGCGCCTCCAGCGTTTGATCGATAGCCCTACAGGATTCAAGATCTTTATCTCCATATCGGCCTTTTTTTATTTTATTATTATTAGACTTTTTTTTTCCCTTTTATCCATTATCTTTTTTCCCCCTCTAGGCGCGGCTTCAAGCGATCAAGTCCGTCAGCTCCGGTTCATCGCAATCGGGGTTGATAGTGCCATCGCATACATACTTCGTTATCTTTTCTCTCCATTTGAGCTCTTCCTCTTTCATCCTGACTGCGTAGGCGGGGAAGAGGGGAAGACACAGAAAATTCAAGGGAAGAAAGGCAACAGGCGCATCGTCGCTATAATCACAAATGGTCTCTATGGTCGAGACCTCCAATTCAAATCACAATGACGCGACCACGGATTCGGTCGTGCCTAAGTCAGAACCCTTGCCGGAGGGGTCGACCAGTTCATCAGTGTCAACGCCTGAAGCAGAGGGTGAAGTCCCAATGCAGGACGTAGCCCAGACACAGAAGCGAAAAGGTGGAAGAAAACCCGTACGTAAATCCTTATCTACACCACTTTTTTGTTGTCAGTTTTTATGGTTCTATTTTTTCCCTTCTTTTGTTAAAGGCTTAGCACTAGCCGTTGACACATGAAATATCTTATCTACATCTTTATCTTTTGTTCCTGCGTTAATGTGGTGTGCTTTTCCCATGTTCAAATCTGGGGCCCCGCATTAAATTTCGCTTTATCATTTATCATCATGATTGATCATCCCTTATCTTTGCCTTTCCCCTGTTTA